AAGCAGAAAGAAACACAAGCCTAGGGTTAGCCTTGAACAAAGACTGAGGAGGGGGGGGGGGACAACACTCACAGAGGGAGTCATAAAAATGTTGGATAATGATTGAGGAATCCCATGTCCAAATTAAGGCCCTTATCTCTTGTGTCAAATAGAATTATTATTCTTAGTTCAAACGTTTTTCTTTCCTGAATGGATTTGAAATTTCCTTTAAGAACTAAAACATTGAGGTCTTCCATAATGTGGTCTGGTTTTGCAAAATGGTGTCCCACAGGTGTGCAAAAGTCATCTTCTTTATGTTCCTTGATGGTATGTCTGTGCAAATTCATCCTTGTTTGCAACTTCTGTCCCGTTTCGCCAACATAAAATCCTTTGCTACACTTTCTGCACTGGATAAGGTACACAACATTACTGGAGGTGCAACTGTATGATCCGGAGATTTTGAAAATCCCTTTTGAGTGTCTGACACTTTTTGATGGATTGATTTGGTTGCACATCACCTCAAACAGAACCTTCAGTAACACTCAAGCAGGGATTCAGAATTCATGAAGCAGGGCAAATTTTGTCACAAATATATATGAATTACTTTGGATCTTGGTCTCTTGTAGACTTCTGGACTTCTTGGCTTAGAGGAACTCAAGACAAAAAAAACTAGGGTTTTAGTTCTGTGCAGAGTTTTTTTCCCACACACCTGCTTCTGGGGTAGCAAATCAAATAAATAGGGGGTGGTTTTGGCTTCCCCTTCTTAAATAATAAACATGTACTATATAACAATATTAGCCATAATATAAACATAATGAACAAAGAAGCAAAATGTCTTATTTATTTACAAGGAAAGTAAAACACTAATATATATTGCAAATCTCAAAGAATATTACAGAATAAATATAGAAATAAAAGAGCAGAGATTTATATATATATATATATATATATATATATATATATATATATATATATAAAATGTCACCACAGGGTGGCGCTGTGGACATGATTCAAGATAAACAAATGCCATGTCCAATTTTTTACAGTAGTACTTTTTGGGAAATAGAGAAGCACATGGACTTTTTGGGCATTAACTAGATAAATATTTTTAAAAATTTCAATTTTCATTATTCCAAAACTCAAACTATCATAAAAACAGAACTCAGATATTCCATTAAAATTCACAGACATAAAATCACACTGGTACTGAGCTTTTCTCATACTATGCAGCTTCCTGTTCCAAGATAAGGAACTTGCATCACCAAAAACATTCCCTAAGTTGTCATATGATCTGGGGAAGCCGTAGCCTATAAGTACTAACTTCAGCTCTTCAGCTCAAGTTTCTGGAGACCTGCATGGCACCAGCAATCTGCTGATCTCTGATGCAATGCTTTACAGGCTACAAAAAAACAAAATTAATGAATACACATATTTTTACCTGGAAAAAAATGTGCATTTGTTTATTTTTTTTTTTAAGTGAACTTATCCTTTAAGCTCTTGGACAACTGCACTTGCAAAGTGCACAGTCTTTTAGTGAATTAACCTCCTGAGCTGTAATCCCGAGTGTAGCTCGGGGTAAAATTTCTATACCAAGAGTGGTAACCCCGAGCTACACTCGGGCTTACCATGCGGTGCTGCTCTGGGGGTCCCTGCAGCACTTACCTTGTCCTTCGCTCCAGCGATGTGTCCCCTGCAGCGTCCCCGGCCATCTCCTCTGGCCGATGCCGGCATCCGGCTTCTGTGTTCCGGTCCCTGTGAAGTCGGGACGTACGGGCGCCGGAACCGGCGGCAAATTTGAAATTTTTAAAAAATGTCATTTTTGCTGTTGTTGCTGTTTCAATGCATTTCACCATATATTTTGTCCCTACTGCTTTGTCCTGTGCCCTGCCTGCATTTTGAATGTTCTTTCTGCCTGGAAACTTAGAAAAGTCCATGGCGTCCAAAAAGCGTCCCTTTACGTTAAAAGCGGTTTTAGAGCAGCGATAGTAAATCAGAACCACTTGCAGAATTGAGTGATAATAATTCGTGGGGGAAATTAGTCATCAGACACTGAAAACGATTTTGCGACTTTGCTCAGCGATGTGCGAATTTGCCTCTGTATTTCAAATTTCAGTGTTTTTGGTTTGATTATATTATTGAATTAAATTTATTATTATTATATTATTATTTTTTATGATTATTTATTAAATTATAATTTATGATTTCGTGTTTCAAATTTTATCATATCCGGAATGTTTAATAGACTCTTGTTCGTACAGATTTCAGTGAGTTATTCCTAAAAATCACAGCCTACAATAAAAAACTACATATTTCCATGCAAAAAAATGGTACCGCTTTCAGCACAAAAAATCGGAAAGAATGAATGATACTGCCAAGGAGGTTAACTACATTACATGTAGTGAAATATATTTATTTTCCCTTCTCATTTCTCGTAGATTTTCAGACTTTATTTGTTTAGATACAAGCACATACATCATTTACAGCAAAAAACCTCCTAATCACTACAAACATAATACAAATGTACATGCATATCACATGCATATCACAGTGGTCTAATCTCTTGTTAGAACATATGTCATATGTAGTGGGAATACTTTGTTTTCACAATTTTTCTAGAGATATCTTTGACTCAAATATTCACAAACAACTAGATTAGGAATAGACAAGTATTTTTACAAAGGTGTGGAACTTGAGCTGTTAGGAGAGGGGTGACATCAGTTTGAAGGTTTGACAGATGGATACCAGAGTGACACTCTAGACTCTAGACAATGGTTATTCTCTAACAAGACAAAACAGACCTGTCCAAAGATATAGCAATGACTTCCCAAATATCAAAAAAAAAAAATTACTTTAAAGCGTAACTAAAAGCAACATTTTCTTTTTTCATTTTGGATAGAGTGGTGGAGGGTTAGAACCCCTGTCAGTTTTATATTTATTTTTTTGCCATCTGTGTCCCATTGGGGAGATTTCCCCACTATTAGTGTTTCAATGTCAATATCATTTTAAAAAAATGTCAGCCCTGCTGCAGCAGGTTCTATACATTGTATAGATGTGCAACTTTGCAAGTATTTTAGGGGACCCTTCCCAGGCATGATATTTAAAGGATTTTAAATTTTTTTCTTTTACTAAGCAATAAAAAATGACTACCCCTTTAACCTCCCTAGTGGTCTGATTATGTCAGTATTTCTGTGCTCAAAGCGTTAAATTTTTTTGCATGGAAATACCGTATTTTCCGGCGTATAAGACGACTGGGCGTATAAGACGACCCCCTACTTTTCCTGTTAAATTATAGGGGTTTGAGCTATACTCGCCGTATAAGACTACCCCTTTTCCAACGCACACCAAATAAAAATGAAAAAACATCAGATTTGATTTCAATATGGTATGCTATTTCAGTATGGTATTCCAATGATGGGGTGCTATTCCTCCCACTGACACCAATGATGAGGCACTACTCCTCCCACTGACACCAATGATGGGGCACTATTTCATCCACTGACACCAATGATGGGGCACTATTCCTCCCACTGATACCAATGATGGGACACTATTCCTCCCACTGACACCAATGATGGTGCCCCATCATTAGTGTCAGTGTGTGAGGAATAGTGCCCCATCATTGGTGTCAGTGGGAGGAATAGTGCCCCATCATTAGTCAGTGGGAGGAAAAGTGCCCCATCATTGGTATCAGTGGGAGGAGTAGTGTCCCATCATTGGTGTCAGTGGGAGGAATAGTGTCCCATCATTGGTGTCAGTGGGAGGAATAGTGCCCCATCGTTGGTATCAGTGGGAGGAATAGTGTCCCATCGTTGGTGTCAGCCGGAGGAATAGTGCCCCATCATTGGTATCAGTGGGGAGAATAGTGCCCCATCGTTGGTATCAGTGCAGGAATTGCACCCCATCGTTGGTGTCAGTGGGAGGAATTGCGCCCCATCGTTGGTATCAGTGGGAGGAATTGCGCCCCATTGTTGGTATCAGTGGGAGGAATAGTGCCCCATCGTTGGTGTCAGTGGGGAGAATAGTGCCCCATCATTGGTATCAGTGGGGAGAATAGTGCCCCATCATTGGTGTCAGTGGGGAGGAAGAATAGTGCCCCATCATTGGTATCAGTGGGGAGAACAGTGCCTCATCGTTGGTGTCAGTGGGGGAGGAACAGTGCCTCATTGTTGGTGTCAGTGGGAGAGGAACAGTGCCCCATCGTTAGTGTCAGTGGGGGAGAGGAGCGGCTGCTCCTTCTTCCAGTTCGGCCGCTCGATTTTCTCCGTCTCCCTCCTCGCCGGTGATTGGTTGCCTGTGTGCCTTTCCAGTGCTGGTGCCCAATCACCGGTGAGGAGGCGGAGCCGAGCGGCTGCGTGACCGTCGAGCGGCCGAACTGAAAGAAGGAACAGCCGCGCTTCCTGGACCGGATCGTCGTGAGACCGGAGCCAGGTAAGGTACAGCAGCGCCTCTGCCCACCCCTGTACTTGGTGTCCGTTGGAGGAGGAGGGGGAGCGGCGCCGCGCCGCCCCTCGAAAAAGTGCCGCCCTGACACCGGCTCGCACTGGCGTATAAGACGACCCCCGACTTTTCAGAAGATTTTCAGGGGTTGAAAAGTCGCCTTATACGCTGGAAAATACAGTATGTTGTTTTTTTATAGTAGGCCTGTAATTGTTAGGAATAACTCACAGAAATCTGTCCGAACAAGAGTCTAGTAAACATTCCAGGTATGATAAAATTTGAAACACGAAATCATAAATTATAATATAATAAATAATCATAAAAAATAATAATATAATACATAATACATTTAATTCAATAATATAATCAAACCAAAAACAATGACATTTGAAATAGAGCACCAAGTTTGCTGAGCAAAGTCACAAAATCATTTTCAGTGTCTGATGATGAATTTCCCCACATATCATCACTCAATTCTGCAAGTGGTTCTAATTTACTATCGCTGTTTTATAGCTGGTCTAAAACCGATTTTGACCTAAAGGGATGCTTTTTGGATGCCATGGACCTTTCTCAGTTTTTTCAGGCAGAAAGAACAGTAAAATTACAGGCAGGGCACAGGACAAAGCACTAGGGACAAAATGTATGTGAAATGCTTTGATACAGTAATGTTATGCTATGAGATTTTTGTATATTGAGTGCATGTCACTTAAAATTTTTGAATTTCCCTCCGGTTCTGGCCCTCGTACGTCCCGACGCTCACAGGGAATGGAACACGTAAGACAGACGCCGGCATCAGCCAGAGGAGATGGCCGGGGACGCTGCAGGGGAGACATAGTGGGAGCGAAGGAAAAGGTAAGTGATTGAGGGAATCCCTGAGCAACTCTGCAGGGTAATCCCAAGTGTAGCTCGGGGTTATTGCTTTTGATGCTGAAAGTTTACCCCGAGCTACACTTAGGAATACCGCCAGGGAGGTTAAAAATTGTAGTTTTTGAATTTTTTTCCACTGATTTATGTCTCTCAGGGCAGTACCAGAATCCCTATATTCTTTTCTGGTCAATAACTTGCATATAAGCCTTCAAAATGGGCACCTTGGAATTTGCAAGTTTGAGTCCCATAGACTTGCATTAGGTTCAGAGTTTGCGGTCAAACTTTTGTTAGCTTTGCATGTTCAACCGTGAACCGAACAGGGGAGTGTTCGGCCCATCACTAGCAGGCACCTTTTCATCATGATTGATGTGGATTACATCATTAGATGATGTGACTAACACTGGATTACAGCAAGCAACATTAATAAAAAAATGTGTGTGTTTTCTTTCAATTAAAGGACTTTGGCAAGGTGTGTTTACTTACACATAACAAACTTTCGTAATGTTTTACTAAAGGGTACCCATGTACTCATTGCCTTGGGGGAAGGGGTGAATATCTGGGGCCACCTTATTTTAAAAGGTGATTCCAGATTCCAATATAAGTCAATATAAAATGTGTGGGGGCTTTTTGTGGATTGGACGTAGGGGAGATGTCTGTGTCCCTAGACACTAGGCATATGGACATATCTAAAACAGGAAATATAAATAATCTATGCACTGGTTTATCAAAAGAATAGAAATTGACCCCCGCGTGTAACTACACACACCTAAATAATATAAATACATATCTATTTTATAAATACATATGGCGTACTTGCCTACTCTGTGCAAAGCTTTTGCAAAGTGAAGCTCTAATCCTCTTCTTTGTGGGTCTTCTAGCTATAGGGTCCCTCATGTGGACTCGATCCAGAGCCATGCTCTGTATGCTCAATGATACAGAGAACATGGTACCACCCCCACTCTCTTTTCACTGGTTCTTGCTGCTGCTTTCATGGCCAGTGAGGAGGGAGAGAGTGGAGAAAGCCAACGCTCTCAGGCACAGTGCTGGATTGAGATTAGGATCAAATAAGTATTTAAAGGGGCTGGGGGGGTGCAAACAGAAGGTTTTTTTTTCCTTAATGCAAAGAATGCATTAAAGTAAAAACCTTCTATCTCTAGAACCACTTTAGTTGGAGGGGGGGGGTATTTAAAATGATGAGGAATTGTGGACATATTGAAAATGCGAAAATATTCCAAAAAGTACTAAATAAAAGCACAAACAGGAAAAAAAAACTATGTAAAGCATAGCAGATTGCTATCAAAATGTGCATTGTTCTATGTTGGCTTAGAAAGACCCAAGATACCACCAAACACTAGATATGAAAAGGGTTGTAAATACAAACCAAACCGCAGGAAGTCAATTTAGGGGAATAAACAGTCCAATTGAATTAATTGGTCTCCTATACAGCTCTTCTAAAGAAGAGAACAGATGAATAATTGCTCTCAATTAAAAAAAGGCCAGAAAATATATAAATTATTATTGTCATTAAAAGAAGTACTCACACAGTATAAGCATTATATTTAAATAAAAAAATAGAAAATACTAGTGATGAATATTTCTGAACAATAAGAAAAAGTGGTTAAGAGATTTCTAAAAAAACACTGTGAGCAGGATTGTGCTCCTAGCATTTCCAGTGATTAAACATACAAAAAGTAAGTAAATAAACAATGTGGTAATACAAATTGGCACAATCAAAATCACTTATGTTCTTCATGGCAATTAAAAAAAAATGCAATGAGTATAGTTTATTATGCATATGTATTTTATGTTTCAATATTTTTATTGAATTTTTCAGAGACAAACAAGGAAATGAGATATGGTTCAGTTATACAGTATTGCAATAAAACGTTATACAGTTGAGCATTTTTGTTCTTATTCCACTCATTGGGCGGTGGTGGCATTGGTCTTATTTAGCAATATCATCAGAGGTATTCATATGTGTATGATGAACCTTGGTGAGGAGCTTGGGATGTTAGGGGGGTATTGGTGGGGAGAAGGCGGAGGTAGGAATTAGAGGAGGAAAGATATAACTGGTTGAATGAGGATATACCAGTCTAGGTTTAGGAGGTAATTTTTACTGTTTAAATGTCATCAGGGTTGTACAGAGCATTTTGGGTGATTTAACCATGGGGTCCATTGCTGATTAAATTTATGGTGAGAGGAAGTGTTGATTGCAGATTTTTTTTTTCCATTTCACATTGGGTGTTGAGGTCTGTAATTAGTGAAGTAATTGAGGGGATATTATTTGTGTTCCATAATCTGGTAATGTTTATTTTGGCAGCGAAAAGTGTGTGGGTAATAATTGTTCGGGAGTGAAGAGGGAATTTCTCGATCCCGATATGTAGGAGTGCTAATGAGGGATTCGGGATTATCAAAATTTTGGTTATGTCAGATATTAATTGGAAGTTAGTATTCCAGAAGGATCTAAGTGACTTACATGACCAAAGAATATGTAGTGTTGAGCCTGTCTCACCGCATTGTCTCCAGCAGCAGTATACAAGTTTTGCATGAATTGGGCATAAAATGTGCTCTGAACGTCATCTAAGTCACAACAATAGAAGAACACAGTTTGCTGAACATAATACTAC